TTATGTTTTAATTTTTAATGAAAAATCACACATTTCTTTGGTATTTCTTGCAGTGATAGTTACAATATATTATAGTATTATTATAAAATTATTCTTGTTAGTGAATGTTATATTTCAAAACTGGTTTTACTTAATTTTAATTGCAATAAAATTAAAATCATTTTATTATAATGTGGACAGGGATTGGAGTTATATAATAGATAACGAATACTTGTATGGAGTGATGAATTCATTGGTGATCAGCTTGATAATGAGTCAACGATATAAAATTTATTAAACATATTACATTTATTTATATATGTTATTTATATGATACATTTACAAGTAATCTGTTAATTTAAAGCTTTTGCCCTCCATTACTAACAATTTAGTAACTAACTAAGTTTTCAATGTCACACAATTGTTATTATATTTTTAAAAAACCTGTGTGAAATATTAAATATTGAATTCAGAAAATATTTTTCAAATTAATTTTAACATTTATTTTGATATATTTTAAAAATTGCTCTAGGCACACATTATAAATGATTTTAAAAGTCTATGCCAAATATCCTCCCTGTAAACTTTTCAATTTTCAGACAAACGATTTTTTTTCTATTAAACTCTTATTTTCTATAAACACAAAACGTTTCCTTTTATTGAATTCATATGAAAAGCTAAAGTTATGTAAAGCTATTTCTCTCATTTTAAATTTAAAATTAATTTGAATCAAACATTTATTTATTTATATTAATTTTTGTGAGTGTTATAACCCAGTCTCGGATATAAAGTCTGTATTGATAGGTCTTTTACACCAAAATAAAAACAAATCCTGTTATCCATATATTGATTGTACATATGATTAGTTTTAACAACAATTCCGTTTTCTATAAAAATAAGTCGTTATTTGTTAAATAGTTATCTCAAGCATGAAATTAGTTATAACGGTTTTAGTGTTAATTTTTCGGGAAATAGTTTGCAGGTACGAATTTTCTAATAAATCACTGAAACTAGCATGGAGTGATGAGTTTACCTCGAATCAATTAAATAAAACAAGGTGGTTTCCCGCCACCCAATCAGAATGCAACGGTAAGTCTTGTTATATTCATATTTTTATTTAATTCATTTATCAATATATAAATATTTTTAAAAATAATTCATATTTAATTAATCTAACTCTTAATTAATCTAGTATTAATATCAATACACTGAATATCTCATTTGACTAATATTTTTGTTATATTTTCCTTTATTATTTATCTCCAAATTGGACTCAAATATTAATAATATTCATATAAATTGAATACAAATATAAATATATTTTGTGATAAAAAGTAGTGAATTAATGGATTATGTTTTAATGTGACAAATAATATTCGGCGACATTCATAAAGTGTATAAATTAATTAAGTACTTATTTTACAAACTTTTAGGGGTTGGTAATTATAACTTATATTGTAATACTTTGTTAAATATTACATATACAGTTAAATATACATTTAGGTATATGTCTTATTTATGACTTAAAAATGATTACTCGTTTTTTATTTTACAAATGATTTTTAGGCAAAAATATTGCAATTTACAATTACCAAATTACAATATACTGTATAATCTAGAGACATCATCATTTTATAAAAATTTAATGTTAATTCTATATAAGGTCTACATATTAGTGTATAATTAAATGTAATTTTTAAAATTTATATAAAGGAATAAAATCCGGTATATTTCATTTATTCATTTATTTATAAAAACACAATAAAAATAATTTTATTATCAACATAATTTATATTATCTATTTTTGAGAGTAGAAATGTTTGTAATATGGTGCTTGATATTATTTAAGCATTTTGAAACTAGTTTGGGTCTTGAATTTAATAAACCCAAAACACTTGTATGGAATGACGAGTTTGTCGATAATGATCTTGGTAATGACATGTGGGAAATTATTGATGACTGTAGTGGTTATGGTGTTGGTAAGTTTTTTAATAACTTATTATAATTATCAGAGAAATGATTTGAAAGTATAGAAAGTATTTGAAATCATGGAAAAGATAATTTGGCTTTAAAGCAGGGCCCGGACAACTTAATTTTGTTTAATATTATAAATTATAATAAACCTCTTTCTCTCTCTCAACACAATTTCTGCGCAACCCTCGGATGCCTTGTATTAGTTCACCAAATAATATGCAATTCCTGAACAATACGGTCTCTCTATTTGTTTGGGCCGGTAATGGCACCCAACCCACACCCACACAATCACCCAATAAGCCGCTATTAACAACGGCTACGGTATCTCTTAAAGTTAACTCGAGTGTCAATCGAGTGGAGATTAGAGCTGCACTACCGCAAGCTTTTACCCTGTACCCATTTGTATATTTTAACACATTAGCTTCAAGCTTAGTGGAGACATTAGATATTATTACCAAATTGGGAAAACAGGTCCTAAAGAACGACCTTGCTCAATTTCATACGTACGCCATCGAGTGGAATGATACTCATTATGAGTGGAGTTTCGATAATAAATACTCGTATGTTATTCATTATTACCAGGGCTATAGAAAGCCGTATACAAAATATTTGATTTTCGATGTGAGTGTTGACAAACTTTATGGTCAATTGTTTTCCACAAATGATTACATGAAGTGGAAGTGTTCGGCACTTATCATAGATTATGTTCGGGTCTATCGATGGGCTGACAATAATACCGACCCTTCAGATAATAATACACTACATGACAGTCCGGCCATCGCTTCCGACATTTGTGAGGCTATTATGAATGACATCAGAAGATCGAATCAAACGCCTGATGAACTCAATGATGAATGCCTTTTAAATAATAACTCAACGCAAGTGACAAATACTGAGACATCAACTCCATTGTTATTAATGGTTGCGGTGATAATCAGTTTATTTTTAGTGGTCACTCTAATATCTGCCATAATATTCATGTATCGCAGTCATAGAACACAGAAACAGATAAACCGGGACATAGTTCTAGACATTTATGATGACAACCGTATGGATGACTGCGAAGTATTAACATTATTATTCAAAACCTTTTACTGTATTAGAAATTTATTTAAAACTAATGAGTTGGAAATTCTAACCTAAAAACATAAGGTAAATAATATACCGTATAATATTATTGTATAGAATGGTATACTAGTTTTATGGTTTACTATGTAAAATTTAGGTGTAATAGTTTAACCTTTGGAAAATATTATTTTTAAATAAATTTTATTTCGAAATCTATTCACAAATATTTTTATTATCAATCATTCAAATTATTAAAGTTATTAAAATATCATATTTATTTCAATATTTATACATAATTAGTAATAGCACCATGTCCACTTGCGGCAATATGTTTGAAAAATTGTAACACCTTTGGTTTTCATTTACATTTAATTCTCAATCCTTTAATTCGCATTTACAATTATTGCCAACTTTATCAAGTTTCATATACTTATCACAAACTAGCCAGTTGTGTCAAACTTATTTTTTTGGTGCCCTCCTATGGTTCTTGGTCAAAAAACAGTCTTGCTAACTTCATACTCAGGAATTCAGTTCCTTGTCTACAGCCACTCCTATTTTACTTATGATCTAAATCTGACATAAATTATTACAATTACATTTTATATAATAACTCAACGCGAGTGACAAATACTGAAGTTATTAACGCCCATGGTCGGTTGATAATGCAAATGCTTATGAATTGGTGGCCAACACAAAGTGTTTAAAAGTGACAAATATCGTAGTTACACACTAATATTTTATAGTTACACTGTAATTACGATATAATTTATAACTAATAAAAATTATAACTTAAAATTATAAGGTATATCGTATAGTACAGTATACAGTAGTATATTAGTGGTATTATTGCTTTCTATGTAGTATCTAGATTAAATAATATCACCTTCGGAAAATATTATTTTTGAATAAAGTTTATTTCATAATCTATTCACAAATATTTTTATTGCTAGTCATTCAAATTATTAAAATAATTAAAATATTTGTTACAATATTTATCAAATAATTATAAATGTTCACTTGAGATCAATAAGTTTGAAAAATGGTAAAAATGGTTCTCTTATTTTCCCTCACATTTACAATTATTGCCAACTTTATCAATTTGCATGTACTTATCCAGACCAAACGAACCCACAAACGAGCCAGTGGTGTCAACTTAATTTTCTTGGTACCCTCCCATGGTTCTTGGTCAAAAAATAGTCTTGCTAACTTCTTACTCAGTTCCTTGTCTACTTCCACCCCTGATTTACTCGTGATCTCAATCTGACATAAATTATAACATAATAAAATTATTAAATTAAAAATACTTCAAATTCAATTTCACCTGGATAACCGCATGATAGGGTAGGGCCAAGTTCTCAATCCACTTGACGTACGACAGGGCTTTAATGCAAGTGTCCGGCGGTATATTCACAGTCTCTGTCGGATATCTTATACTCCTTTGTGGCGGACAGTTGTGTGCCCCGAGTCTCACTGGACTCCTGTCCCAACTCCCACTCCAATTCAGCCGTAGTGGACACCGAGACCTCTACTATACCCATGAGATCGCCGCTGACACCCGCGGTTACGCTAAACCGGCCGCAGAACCTATTGACAAACGTATGCGACTCCTCCATAGTTATACTATATGATTGTGTCAGGGTCTTTTCGAGGGTGATTTCTCGGCTAGCAGTACTCACGTATTATTTCACGTTACCCTTTTGATCCTTACCAGGCTCATTGCAGAAGACAAATCGAGTGTCAGGATTTTCTGAAATAGGGTATTTGCCACCATCCAGGGAATGGATATCTAAATATATTTAATTATATTTTTCACAATAGTCTATTCATATGGTTTCGAATATAAGAATATAATAATAAATAATTACTAATAGACAACATAAAATACTCACAACAATATTGGTAATAAATATAATAAGAGCCCTGGTCGGGTGACTTGCTGATTTGAATTTTATGCGTGGAGTTATCATGGTGAAACATTGTGTACCATCCGTCATCAGTGGGTAAAAAAGTTTGCCAAAATATCGTATTCCATAAATTAAGTTCATCATTAGTAGTGTGGTAACCAGATTTAACAGTAGCAAGGTCCCATATTAGGAATCGGTTGGAATTTTGATTTTTGACCGAATATTTCAGGTTTGTATAAATGGGTAATTCCTGTCTATCATTTCGGTCAATGATGGGAAAGTGGGTCACACTGCCAGTGCACAGGTCTTGGGTGGATAGTATAGTTACAAACACTATTACAACTAATTTATTAATGTTCATTTCAATGAAGTTTTAATTATTAATTTATGAAATAAGTAATTTGCATTTGTAAATAAATTCTGAAAATAATTATTTTAATAGTGTTAATATACCTGTACTTTTATTATTCACGTTTATAGTTTCTATAAACATTAAATAATTTTCTAAAATGGACGTATCCGTACATCCTTATGAATATATTTTATATGGTATTCTGTACAATAAACTAGTTATTTTTGAATCTATACTAAATTATAATAGCATATAATTTTTATAGTCTAAAATATCCTATGATTTCTAATGTTATTTTCTCTAACAATGGACTTTCTATTTCTGATAAACAGTACATGTGTCAGAATAGTCATTGCTCAATTTACAAGCCATATAAATACTATAAAATTAGTTTTTATTAATAATTATTTCTTATTAATACATTTAAAAATTACAATTGTTTTCATGTATTCTCACATTTACATTTATTATCAACTTTATCAAGTTGCATATATTTGTCCAGGGCAAACGATCCCTTAAATAAACCAGTAGTTTTGAATCTAATTTGCTTTTTGTTTTCCAATATTTCTTGATCTAAAAACAACCTAGCCAACTTTTTACTCATTTTCATGTCTACTGCAACACCAGATTTAGTTGTTATGTCAATCTAATATAAATTAAAATTTATTAATAAATGTAATCATAGTAAAAATAATAGTTTTATTTTAGCAATAACATTATATCAATTAAACAGAAAAATCTCATCTAGCAATTTTAAAACTTTTATTCATAAATAATATTAATTATGGGTTAATATTTTATTCATTGACCATTCATTAGTTCAATAGTAAAGGGGCAATAAAGGATTCAATTTTAGCAAATTATATATTAATCAATTATTCTAGGATTTACCTGCTTAGAGTTTTTTACTCAATTTGCTACCTGAAACTAAGGTTTTTATAATACACCATATAATATCATATTCACCTGGATAACTGCTTGATAGGGCAACTCCAAGTTGTCAATCCATTTCACATAAGACAAGGCTTTAATGCACATATCCGGCGGTACACTCACTATCTCTTTGGTTATCTTATACTCCTTAGTGGTGGACAGTTGTGTCTCCCGTACCTTCTTGTCCACCTCCCAGCTCACTTCAGCTGTATTTGACATTGGGACATCTACTATACCAAGCTGGTTTGCACTGATACCCGCTGTTATGGTAAACTTATTAAAAAATCTACTAGCCCACATATAAGCTTCTTTCATAGATATGCTATAAGTTTGTGTCAGGGTCTTCTCGAGCGTCGCCTCTCTGGTTAAATTATCAGGACTACAGTTGGGAAAAGTTAAGTTGCCCACCATGTTCAATTTAAGATGCTTGTCTAATTGTTCCTTAGAAGGTTTTTCATATTTAAAATTGGTCATGGTCGAGTTTATATTATAGTATTTGCCCACTTCGGTTAATATATTAGTAAATTCCCAGTTGTATTTGACTCGTTCCTGTGTGTTATTACCTGGTTCATCGCAATAGATCTTTCTGTCATCAGGGTTTTCGGCGTTAGGATAGTTGCCATCCCCTAGTAATAGTAAATTATGGCCAGGATAATATGAGCATAAATAATTATATAATCAACTAATTGTCTATTCAAAATACTCACTGCATCCAGTATTGTAAATATAATAATAGCCCTGATCGGGAGATTTGCTAATTTTGACCTGATGAGTAGTGTTATCATGGTGAAGCATGGTATACCAACCATTACCAGTTGGAATAAAAGTGTGCCAGAAATCCATGTCCCAGAAATCGAGGTTAGCGTCAGTAGTGCCATGATCCCGGTACTTTCGTTTCCATAGTAAGAATCGGTTGGAGTTTGCATTTTTAATCGAATATTTCAGGTTTGTATAAATGGGTAGTTCCTGGAGGTCCTTGCTGTCTATGATCGAAATGTGAGTCTTATCACCAGTGCAAATGTTTTGAATGAATAATGATAATATTATTATAATTAATTTACTAATACACATTTTATTAAATTTTTAACTTATTGTCAATCAAAACAAAATTAATAACATAGATATTAATAAAAAAATTATTAATAATTCAAATTTTGATAAAAATAAAATTATCAAATACGGTATAAACTTACTAAGTTTACTGATTTTAAATAAAATTGTTATATAATTCAAGCATTCTGAATTTATAAAATAAATACTTTCTAAAAAATTATCCGGAATCTATTCCCAAATATAGAATTTTAACATTTTGCCCAATTTTGGTAATCTAAAAATGCCCTTATAAAAATATAAAAAGGATATACTATACAAAAATGTACTATTATTTTATTAATGTTATCTTTTCATGCTTCAAAATTATTAAGTTGTAATTTAATTATAAATAAAAAATTGTCTTAAAATTAATCATCATGCTCAAATTCAAAAGTTTATTACTATTATGCATCTGGTTGATAATATTTTATATGCTTTATTGTGGCGATTGTGTGCATCATGGTGATTTGGATAACAAATTAGAGAGAGCTATATGGTTAATAAAATGGCTAAGTGACCGGGGTAATAGGACCAGAAAACCTCGGCGCACTAAAAACTCAATGGAAGACACACGTGCTGGCTAATACTATGTCATAATTAGATTGATTTTATATAATTTAATTGATTATTAACAATTTTAATTATTTTTAAAACAACAAAATAATGTATTTTTTAATCACCATTTATGGTGTATTTCCTATTAATTAAAATTTTTAAACTAATAAACTTTGTTTTTTATAAAACTATTATTTTCTATATTTACAATCAGTAAATAAATTAGAAATTAAAATATTCTTGTAGGACCTGGATTAGTCGTAGAATTTAACAATTCGTACAAAACATATATAGTTATGAGTTTAATACAGATAAGTTAGATAATACTGGTACAACTAGCTAAGCCAATTATCTAAGAATCTATATTTTAAATATAAGTTTATATTTAATATTAAGCTGGGTTAGTTTTTACAAATATTCATATAGTTTACTGATACACGAGTGAGAGTTACAATTAAATAAATTCCTTGACAATTATTATTTCAAAAATGTTTTATATACTAAGCTGTAATATAAATATTTTTATATATTTCTTTTATGGTACAATATTTCTACAATATTTTTTCTATGTCCTAAGAAATTAAATAAGCTATAATTAATTTTGGTTAAAATTTTATTGATGATAACTGTAGTTGTTTATACGATAATTTATAATTATTATTGATATAAATCTTGTTTTCAAAATAAAATTTTTGCTGTCAATATAAAATTGTTATGAATGAATTTTTGCTATTCCTTGATATGATATGAAATAACATAAACAACTTAATTAGCTAACAGTGAATTGATTATATAATACCAGATTTATGATAACTTTACATTACTTTCTCATATTAAAAGAGCTTTTTTATTTAATTATTAATTATTTCAAATAAAATTTTTGTACCAAGATCTAAATTCTTGATTAAAACTTTCAAAAGTGAGTAAATATTATTGTAAATGTAATTATTTCTATTTTTATACCAAAATAAACCACACTATGAGCTGATTTTTAATCAATTTTTAGTGACTATAAAAGGATAAAAACAGACATTTTCATTTAAAAGGTGATTATTATTAGGTTTAATAAAAATATTTTAAAGTTAGTTAATATAAAACTCGGTGTTGTGTGCAAATCATCTATCATACTATTGCTATAATAACCATTTAATTGTTCATTAAATTCTTGGTAATCATCAAAACTCTAGCAAACAAAAGGCTACAAAATGAATAAGATTTTGGTTATATTTTGTTTTCTATTTTTAATGCTGGATACTTTAATGTCATTAAAATTAAATAAGTCATTAAAACTTGTATGGAGCGATGAATTTACAGATGAGCACCTTGATTATTCAAAATGGTCATTTGCCACCAAATCCGAGTGCGACAGTAAGTCTATTAAATTATCATGATGTAATTTTAAACAGAATTTTATTTTTATGAGTGGTGTGTGAGTGAGTGAGTGAGTGAGTGAGTGAGTGAGAGA